CAATCCTTTGAAGATACCTAAAAATAATTCTTTTGAATTCCTTATCAGAGAGTTCCAATGCTGCTTCTTCCTCAGGGATGTGTTCTGGGTCTGTATCCTGTTCCCTTGTTTCTACCACTTTATCTTGCTTCTTTGTGTGGATGGTGATGGTCTGTTTTCTCTGAGGCATCATAGTTTTGTGTTAAGATCTCTGTTAATTGTTTGTAAAGAGCAGCCAAGCATTATTCAGTCTCTTCTTGGTGTTTTTTTTTTTTTTATCATTAGCCCATTGGTGGAGGAGGAGGTGCTGGCTCTTGCTCAGTAAGTGAAGTTACAGGAGGTGTGGATGTACTTGTATCTTACGGGGACTGATGCTGTCTCCCACTCAGTTAGAGAAAAATTATAATTGAATAACAATCGAAAAAGTAAAAGAACATGGACAAAAAATACACCATGAAATCACACAGGAACAGTAACCCAAAAAAGAAAAAGAGGGGAAAAGAAGAAGAAAACAGGAAAACCTGCAATATCTGGGGATAGGGTACTAAGAGAAAAGAGGTAGAGAAGGAGACTAATGAAGAAAAAAAAAAATGGAAAAAATGCAAAACAACAACAACAACAACAAAGAACTTGGTTAACCACGAGAAAAATAAAGGGAAAAAAAGAGTAAAAAAAAAATTTTTTTTAAATCAGGAACTGGGCAAAGAAAGAAAAAAGAAAAAGAAAAAGAAAAAAGCAGGTGTGAACTAGGACCTTTTCAGTCATACAGATCCAAAGAGTTCTTGGGGTTACTGGAAAGCAGAACCTCCTCTTAAGCCCCTGGAATCTGGAAGAGCTCTGACTCTTTAGATTGTCTCTAGCTGCTGGTTACGTGTTGATTTGTTTTGTCTTGGTTTTATGGTGTAATACTTTGAAAGGGTGAAGTTGGTGTATTTTATTTTATTATTGATTCAGGTATGTTGTTTCACTCTGCTGTTTTCTTTGTGATGGTGAAATCACTGTGTGGAATGTGGATATGTGTTTTTGTTTGCTGTAAAGAGGGTTTAGAGTTCAAAGTGGGCGATTTTATGGTAATTGACTGAATATGGTTTCTTCTATTGAATGAGTGAAGTTATTGGTGGAGAAAGGTGAGAGCAAAAGAAGGAAAGCTTGGTGTTTCTAGGGTCGGTTTATAGGGCTTTGGGCAAGCTGTTATCGATGATGTGGTTATTTGCAAGACTGCGGCTCAATCTCAGGAAAGATTCCTGTTGTTGGGAATTCACAACTTTCTGCCTGGTTCAGGCACACTCAAATACCCTGCTCCTGAGGCCTCTGAGCACCAATGAGCCGATCCAAGGCAGAAGCGTCTATCCAAGGCATATTCCCCAGACTGCACTCAGCCACGACTTTTTATCGCTCCCCGCCCCTTCAGCCCTTGGCTCTGGTGCAATTCCGCCAGACCGCTAATGACTGTGGAGTTTGCTTGTGATACCTCCCACCTGCAGCGCCAAAGATTTGCAGGATTTCAGCTGTGCTGGTGTCGGGGGAGTATCTGCTAGTAAACTATGTTCCTGATATCTGTGACCAGATAAGCACGATGTCTCCCTGGCTGACCCAAACCTAATCGGTGACCCGCTGAGAGGGGAGGGAACTCACCCTTCTGGCACAACAGTGAGTTTCCTGCTTGAGTTTCAGTGGTAGTGTGCATGCCCATCTGCACCTGGGAGACCCAAATTACTGACAAAATCAGTTGCTGGAGGCAGGTCCCTGGGGCTGACCTCTGGGTTGTTGGAGTTGTCGCTGGTATGTTGATAATAGGGTGTCTTCTTTCTTGAGTCATAGGGATCTCAAGTGGCCGCCCTTGCAATCAGTGACTGTTCCAGGGAAGTTTCCAATGGCCTCTTGGCTGCCTGTCCATCCTCCGCCAGGTAGCTCTTTCTTAAATAATCTCCCTGTGTCTTTCCTCTAATTCTGCTCTTCTGTGTTTTGTGCACTCTAATTCTGTGAGCTGTTCAGAGCACCAAATCACTAAATCAAACTTCTATACCTAGTTTTTCAAGCACTTAGATGGTACAGGGATATAGAGTGGTACTTACTGACGAGACTGCATTTTGAATCTCCTATTACTTCTACTTTTAAAAGTAGACTTTGATTTCATCTGTAGTCTCACTGGTCATAGATGACCTCCTTGCTTTCAAATGCTTTGATTTTTATTTACATTTTCCACAGACCTATGAATCTTATAAAGTAAAAGGTAAATCCTAGGCAGAGTTTCAGAAAGTTTTTACTCTACCATGTTCTGAAGGCTCATGGTGATCTCCTCTCCTCTGGGTGAGTAATATGTTTCAGTGTAGTCTGGTCCTAGGAGATGCCTGCAGAAAGGAGAATGCTGTATGAGATGCTCTGGTTGGTAATACTCAAAGGATGATTTTCCTGATAGAATCTTTAGCACTAAAGTAACAAGAATATCTATAATAAAAAGCAGTTAATATTTTGACCAATTAATCCTTTTCCAAAAATTGAACACTATTGATGAAGCAAATCAAAGCATTAGTTATGCTTATTAGATCTGAGGGAATAAATGCCATCAGTTACTCTGCAGCTGCAGACACTTTCTTTTCAATTGGGTCATTTTGGGATCTTTTTGCACCAAGGGCTCATCTTTCACAGAATCTCTGAATGGTGGTGGATCTTAAATATGCATAAAGGACCACTGTATTCAGGGAGAAGTTTACTCACTTATATATGAGTTAGTGAAGCTTAACCCTGTAGTATGCATCTCAAGGCCTTTACATCCTGCAATCACCTAGGACATACATCCTTACATAAATAATGAAAAGCCACAAAAAATGCTTGAGCTTTTCTGAGTACAGAAGATTTTCAGATAATCCCAAGTAGCTTTCAGGAAGAAAGGCATTTATACATGGAATTCTCTGGTTTACTTTGCATATGATTTCTTAGCTGAGCATCAATCTTCTTAGATAACATTAGTGCAAACATCTAAATTTCAGTATGCTCCAATATTTTTCTATTGCCAATCACACTGAACAGAGCTTCAAGATTTATTTTTTTCTATGTCTTCTTAGTAGAATCCAGTGAATGATTTTACTATCAGGAAATATGACTTACTTGTTTTTTTGTAGGTGAAGAATGATTTCTTCTCCATTTAATACAATCTGATACTGAACTTCAGGCTCATATCTTTCCTGAAAATATTTAATGGTATAATTGAATGAATAAAAAAAATTTATATTTATGAGTCTGTCTAAATCATTATGATATAAATAGGAGATCTGGTGGCATAGTGCCCAAGGCATTTGACAGCCAACCAAAAGGCTGGTTAGTTCAGACCCACCAGACACTCCTCAAAAGGAAGACTGGGCAATCTACTTCCATAGAAATACCACCTTGGAAACCCAAGGAGGGATCACTATGAGTCGAATTGACTCGATGGCAGTGAGTTTGTTTTTTTTTTGGTAATAATAAAAGTAATATATAACATGAAAACAATAAAACAAATGCACATAAGACAATAGCATTAGTTCTCTTATGCATTAAAATATATAGAAAAAAACATAAATTGTAAATCAAGATGGACTTCCAAAAAGTGCCATTACACGGTATCAAATTTAAGGATTAAACTAATTCTACATATGTGAGATAGGAAGTTATCATTTAGCCTAAGGAATAGTATGCTATCTTCTATCATAATGGGTCCCTAATGAGATAATAATCAGATGTATATTTTCTTTACTTCAAAACCAAACACACTATACTAAAGAAAACAAACTGAAAATTTCTAAGGATTAAACAAGGTAAATATTACAAAATGAGGAAATATAATGCAATGATTTAATAGTCAAAGAATTAATATCCTTAATACTTTTTGAAAGTCTTAAAATAATGAGTTAATGTTCAATTCTCTGTTATAGACCAAACGGGGAGAAAGCAATTCATAGTGGAAAGAGATGAGGGAAGTTTGGTGAGCCTAGTGAGGAACAATATTTCTTTCCAGAAATGGCTGTCCTTCCTGTGCTCCCCTCTTTTTTTTTTTTTTTAATTGAAACCTTTGATTATTCTTCTTCTTCTTTTTTAAATTGTGATTTGGGTGTAAATTCATACATATTTTTTTCATGGTATTGACTGCAGTTCCCCACAATGTAACAGCTATCTTACACTTCCTCCCGGTAGTTACTTCTTCCCTGTGTCCTTCTTTCCTATGTATTCCTGCCCCTTGAGCTATCTCCCTCTGCAAATACTGCCCTTCTGTTCTTCTGTGTTCTAAGGAGTATATCCACCTGATGTAAATTTTCACTCAAAAAGTCTGTCTATTGTTTGTCTGGAAACCCTGGGAGTGAGCTCAATTCAGACCTGAAAGGTAACTAGGGGCCATGGTTTTGGGGGTCTCACCAGGCCCTATCAGACAAGTAAACCTGGTCTTTTTTTTGTAAATTTGAATTTTGTTCCACATTGTTCTACCACTCTACCCAGGACCTCCTGCACTGATCCCATTCTGAGTGGTTGACATAAACTTGGAAAATGTCTAAGCAGTTTTGTTCTTTATGGTCAAGTGTAAGTATTAATTCGCTCCCTACTACTTAACTGTAACAGTATTCTGAGAAGCAGGGTGCTTACCATTGGACAAAGGGGAGTTGGCTATATGGGTTCTAAGATTGCATTATTAGATGTTGATATGACATCATGTCTATTGGTGAAAAAGCTCTTTCTTGTCTCTTCAGATGATTGTATGATCTGCCAGTCATTTACATTGCTTACCTCTTTTCCATGATTCTCTGTCTTGTTCTTTATCTCTCTTTTGTGTAAAATGTGTAGTTTCTTAGGATGGACCACTTCATAGAGCTTTAATTCTGTTGTTTGCTTTATGGCTGTTGCTAGATAAAGAGAGATAATATTGATATAAAGGATTCAAAAACTGTTATTATGCTTGTTTGTTACTTTTGTTTTTGTAGAAAAGATGTGAAAGACTAAATTTCAATGTCAAACCAAAAACCAAATTCACTGCCATTGAGTCAATTCTGACTCATAATGCTCTAAATTGGAATAAAAGCTATAAATCATAATGGAAGCAGACTGTCTCATCTTTCTTTGCAAAGCAGCTGGTGGGTTCAAACCTCTGACTTTTTCATTATCAGCCAAATGCCTTAACCACCACACCACCAAAGCTCCTTAAAATTCCAATGTAGGGAGCAAAAATTGAGGACAGGTTTATTGTCAACTTAAGTTTTAATGACAAAGAATTGTTCTTTTGCCCCCCGTCCCAATTCTGGGAAGAACTTTAAGATGATAAACCAAGTTTTGAGATGATCTCTCAGTATATATAAACTCAGGGACACCATGCTTACAAAGGATAGTCTTGGATTAGGGCAGAATTTGGGGATCCAGGAATTCTGCCTGTTGTAACCCAGTTCTTCCTCTACAGTTTCTTCACAATTGTGAATTCTTCCCTCATTTTCTTTAGAGACCTCTCTTTTCTCTTTCAATGTATTTTCCACTCTGTGGTAAATCCCTTGCTGTTAGGTGCTGTTGGTTCGTCTCAGACTCATAGTGACCCTATGCACAGCAGAATGAAACACTGCCCGGTCTTGTGCCAGCCTCACAATCCTTGAATTTTGTTCCACATTGTTCTCCTACTCTACACAGAACCTCCTGCACTGATCCTTGCTATACCTGAGACCATTGAGCAGCCACTGTATCTATCCATCTCATTGAGGGCCTTCCCATTCTTTGTTGACCATCCACTTTAACAAGCATGACATCCTCCTCCAGGGTATGGTTCTTTCTGACAACATGACCAAAGGAGATGAAATGAAGTCTGGCCATTCTCGCTTCCAAGGAGCATTCCACCTGCACTTCTTCCAGGACAGATTTGCTAGTCCTTTTAGCAGACCATGGTTCTCTTAGCATTCTTCTCCAATACCATAACTCAAAAACATCAACTCTTCTTCAGTCTTCCTTGTTCATTGTCCAGCTCTCACATGCATAAGGGGTGATTGAAAATACCATGCTTGTGTTAGGCTCACCTTAGTCTTCAAGGAGATGTCTTTGCTCTTCAACACTTGAAAGAGGTCTTTTGCAGTAGATTGGCCCAATAAAATATGTCAACTGATGTCTTGACAGCTGCTTTCACTGGTGTTGGTTGTAGAACGAAGTAATGTGAAAGTCCTGGCAACTTTAATATTTTCTCCATCTACTGTGAAGCTGTTTATTTGTTTTTGTGTGAGGATTTTTATTTTCTTTATATCAAGGTGTAATCCATACTGCAGACTGTAGTCTTTAATCTTTGTCAGTAAGTGCTTCAAGTCATTCTCACTTTCAGCAAGCAATGCTGTTAATGAGTCTTCCTCCAATCCTGAGACCATTTTATTCTTCATATAATACATCTTATTAGATTATTTGCTCAGCATACAAGTTGAATAAGCATGGTGAAATGATACAACCTTGACACATTCCCCTTTTGGTTTTGAACCATGCAGTATCTCCTTGTTCTGTTCAAACAACAGTCTCTTAATCTATGTAGAGGTTCTTCATGAGTATAATGAAGTGTTCTGGAATTCCCATTCTTCTCAATGTTACCCAAAATTTGTTATGATCCACACATTTCAATGCTTTTGCATAGTCAATAAAACAAATGTAAGTATCTTTCTGGTATTCTTTGCTTTCAACTAAGATCCATCTGACATCAACAATGATATCCATGTCCTCTTCTGAATCCAGCTTGCATTTCAAGAAGCTCTCTGTAAATATACTGCTGCAACCATTTTTAAAATATCTTCAGTAAGATTTTACTTTCATGTGATATTAATGATATTGTTCAATAATTTCCACATTCTGTGGGATCACCTTTCTTTGGAATGTGTAGAAATAAGGATCTCTTCCAGTCAGTTGGCCAGGTACCTGTCTTCCAAATCTATTGACATAACTGAGTGCCTCTCCAGTGCAGCATCCATTTGTTGAAACATCTCAATGGGATTCTGTCAATTCCTGGAGCCTTGTTCTTTGCCAATTCCTTCTGTGCAGCTTTGACTTCTTCCATCAGTACCATTGGTTCTTGATCATATGCCACCTCCTGAAATGGATGAACATTGACCAATTCTTTTTGGTACAGTGACTCTGTGTATTCCTTCCATCTTCTTTTGATGCTTCCTGTATCATTCAATATTTTTTCCCATAGAATCTTTCAATATTGCAATTCGAGGCTTAATTTTTTTCTTCAGTTCTTTCAGCTTGAGAAATGCTGAGTGTGTTCTTCCCTTTTGGTTTTTCTAACTACAGGTCTTTGCACATTTCATTATAGTAATTGTCTTTGTCTTCTCGAGCTGCTCTTTGAAATCTTCTGTTTAGCTCTTTTATCTTGTCATTTCTTCCATTTGCTTTAGCTACTCTCTGTTCAAGGTAAAGTTTCAGAGTCTCTTCTGACATCCATTTTGGTCTTTCCTTCCTTTCTCATCTTTTTAATGACCTCTCTTTTCTTCATGGATTATATTATTGATGTCATCCCACACTTCCTCTGCTTTTTGGTCATTGGTGTTCAATGCATCAAATCAATTCTTTAAATGGTCTCTAAATTCAGGAGAGATATTATCAAGGTCATATTTTGGCTCTTGTGGACTTCTTTTAATTGTCTTCAACTTCAACTTTAATGTGCATATGAGCAGTTGATAATCTGTTCCACAATCAGTTCATGTCCCTGTTTTGGCCGAAGGTATTGAACTTCTCCATAGCCTCTTGCCACAGATATAGTCAATCTGCTTCCTGTGTATTCCATCTGGTGAAGTCCATGTATATAGTATATTGTTGGAAAAAGATATTTGCAATGAATAAGTCATTGGTCTTTCAAAATTCTATCCTGCAATCTCCAGCATTATTTCTATCAGCAAGGCCATATTCTCCAACTACCGGTAACTCTCCTTTGTTTCCAACTTTTGCTTTCCAGTCACCAGTGATAATCAACATATCTTGTTTGCATGTTTGGTCAATTTCAGACCGCAGAAGTTCGTAGAAATCTTCAATCTTCTCATCTTTGCCTTTGGTGGTTAGTGCATAAATTTGAATAATAGTAGTATTAACTGGTCTTCCTTGCAGGCTTATGGATATTATTCCATCACTGACTCTGCTGTACTTCAGAACAGATCTTGAAACCATCTTTGTGATGATGCATGCTACACTGTTCTGATTATTAATGGATGTTTGCATCTGTTTCTACTCATTTTGAGTCATGCCACATCAGTCAATGGAGGTCCTGAAAGCTTTGATGTAAGGTGAATCCATTACTTTTCTCCAAAAATTCTTAGGAAAAGTTCTACTAGTAGTTATTTAAATACATTTTCTCCACCGTTCTTTGATGTTTTCTACCATTCCTCCAACACAGGACAGCAAAACTTTATTCTCTTTGAAATATGAAGTCTTGAAGGCAAATGTTAAAGACAAAAAGAGTGTAATGATTTATTGTCATTCCAAGGAATAAAGGACTGCTAGTAGTAAGTTAGGAGTTCTGGTAGCATAGTGCCTAAGGAACTTGACTGCTAACCGGAAGGCTGGCAGTTCAAACCCACCAGTCACTGCTCAGAAGGAAGGTTGGGCAATCTACTTCCATAGTGATACCACCTTGAAAACCCAAGGAAGGGTCACTATGAGTTGGGTCCAACTTGACAGCACATTTCAACAACAGCAAAGTAGGAAGTCATTGTGATAATATAAGAGAAAGGCGGTGGTGGCTTACATAAGAGTGATCATTAGCAGCAGTGTAAAGTTGTCAAATTTTGGATGTATTTTGAAGGTAGAATCAATAGTACTTGTGTGGTATTTCATATGGAATATGGAAGAAAGAAGAGTCAAGGAAAACTCAATGTTTTTTGTCCTGAACAAAAAAGAATTTCCATTAACAAACTTGGGGAAAAGTGCAGGTAGCACTGAGTTGTAGGGAAAGGTTATAGACATTCTTATCCTGAGGTGGATGTTAGACATCTCTGAGAGCTCTGGTGGCATAGTGCCTAAGACATTTGACTGCTAACCAGAAGGCTGGCTGTTCAAACCAACCAGCCATTCCTTTGGCAATCTACTTCCATAGAGATACTGTCTCGGGAACCCAAGGAGGGGTCACTATGAGTTGAATTTGACTTGATGGCAGTGATTTTGTTTTATTAGACATCCTAGAGGATTTTGGAAACCAAGGGAGGGGTCACTATGAGTTGAATTTGACTTGATGGCAGTGATTTTGTTTTATTAGACATCCTAGAGGATTTTGGAAACCAAGGGAGGGGTCACTATGAGTTGGGGCTGACTCAACAGCACATAACAACAACAACAGAGGATTTATTAGAAATAAAGTGTGTATTTCAGTATGAAAGCAAAAAGTTTAGAATTGTTCTTTTATGTATGATATTTACTTAAAGCCATAAAATTAGGTAGATTACCAAGTGACTGAATGCACCCAAGAAAAAGTTTCAAGGACTGAACCTTGGGATACTCCAATATTAGGATAATGAGGAAAAGAGGAGGAACCAGGAATAGAAGCCAGTGAGGAAGACCGTACACCAGAAAAGATGGTGTGTTTTATGCTGAGGAGAGAGATAAAGAGCACAATAACATAGTAGCTTGTAAAATAACCATTGAATTTAATAACACTGAGGTCATAAGACCTGTCTTAAGTGATGAGAATGAAAACTGTTGAATCAGGTGCAGGAGAAAATGGGAATATAGGAATCTGATACAGGCAATAGACAGCTCCTTTGAGGACTTTTGCTGCAAAGAAGAAAGAAAAATACAATAAGGAGTTAGCTCTCAAAGGAGGAATGGCGTTGTTATTGTTGTTGTTAGGTGCCATTGATTTGGCTACTACTCATAGTGACCCTATGCACAAGAAAAGGAAACA